ACATATACACACACACACATATATATACACAGTTGTGTGAAAAAGTGTTTGTAATTCAGCCACATTGGAGGGTTTTCGAGCATGAACCGCCTTTTTAAGGTCATGCCACTGCATCTCAATCGGATTCAGGTCGGGACTTTGACTAGGCCACTCCAAAGTCTTCATTTTGTTATTCTTAAGCCATTCAGAGGTGGACTTGCTGGTGTGTTTTGGATCATTGTCCTGCTGCAGAACCCAAGTGCGCTTCAGCTTGAGGTCACGAACAGATGGCCGGACATTCTCCTTCAGGATTTTTTGGTAGACAGCAGAATTCATGGTTCCATTTATCACAGCAAGTCTTCCAGGTCCTGAAGCAGCAAAACAGCCCCAGACCATCACACTACCACCACCATATTTTACTGTTGGTATGATGTTCCTTTTCTGAAATGCCGTGTTATTTTTACCCCAGATGTAATGGGACATACACCTTCCAAAAAGTTCAACTTTTGTCTCGTCAGTCCACAGAGTATTTTCCCAAAAGTCTTGGGGATCATCAAGATGTTTTCTGGCAAAACTGAGACAAGCCTTTATGTCCTTTTTGCTCAGCAGTGTTTTTTTCGTCTTGGAACTCTGCCATGCAGGCCATTTTTGCCCAGTCTCTTTCTTATGGTGGAGTCATGAACACTGACCTTAATTGAGGCAAGTGAGGCCTGCAGTGCTTTGGATGTTGTTCTGGGGTCTTTTGTGACCTCTTGGATGAGTCGTCGCTGCGCTCTTGGGGTAATTTTGGTCAGCCGGTCACTCCTGGGAAGGTTCACCACTGTTCCATGTTTTCGCCATTTGTGGATAATGGCTCTCACTGTGGTTCGCTGGAGTCCCAAAGCTTTAGAAATGGCTTTGTAACACTTTCCAGACTGATAGATCTCAATTACTTTGTTTCTCATTTGTTCCTGAATTTCTTTGGATCGCAGCATGATGTCTAGCTTTTGAGGATCTTTTGGTCTACCTCACTTTGTCAGGCAGGTCCTATTTAAGTGATTTCTTGATTGAGAACAGGTGTGGCAGTAATCAGGCCTGGGTGTGGCCAGAGAAATTGAACTCAGCATTCCAAAGATGTGATAAACCACAGTTAATTTATGTTTTAACAGGGGGGGGCAATCACTTTTTCACACAGGGCCATGTAGGTTTGGATTTTTTTTCCCCTTAATAATAAAAACCTTAATTTAAAAACTGCATTTTGTGTTTACTTGTGTTATCTTTGTCTAATATTTAAATTTGTTTGATGAAACATTTACGTGTGACAAACATGCAAAAAAATAAGAAATCAGGTAGGGGGCAAACACTTTTTCACACAACTGTATTTGGACAGAACCATTGATTCCATTTGAATGTGTCTGTATATAATGTAGTTGGAAGTTTTGCAGTTTATAATATGTTGGGAGTACGAGAATTGTTTTCAAGCAAAATCTTAACAATTGCAAAACAGCCTGGCATTAACATGAATTTTACAAAAAATGTAAACTATTTGAATTCATCGGCTCTGGTTGTGGTCACATGTTAACTGGAAACAGATTGAAAGTTTGATATAATCTTAATTTATTTGTTCAAATAAAATTAGATGATATCAGATTACATCTTTGGAGATGTGTTACTGTAGATGTTCCTATTTTTAAAGAGGAGATTGACTTTGATTTTTACAAACATCCCCTAATTGAGCAAAGATACAATGAACTTACCGTTTGATCCAGAGACATAAGTGAAAGTATTCACGTTTTCTATCACAACTAACGCTTCCTCTGGATTATATGACGATTATATGACAGTAAGAAAAGTCAAAGTTCAGAGATGTACCTCATGGGGTCGTGTGAATGCATCTCTATGGGCCGAGGAGTCCCTCCTAGCCCGCCGCGGGTGAGGGCGTCGATGAAGCCTCGTACCACCGCGCACCTGCGCGCAGTCCCGAACTCGTCCAGAGTGTACCTGGCCAAACAGACGAGACAGAAGGCAACATTCAGCTCCCGAGCCTCATGGGAAAAGACGGTGGCCGCTGCGTGTTTTCGTGCAGAATGTGTGGCGGAAGTCAGTCGCTGACACATGTCAACAATGCAGGCAGCTTTTCCAAAAAGGAAATACTTTGGGGTTGTTTTGATTATTTGGTGGTGGCGGTCTCTGCGACAGACTAAACAGAAGATAGTGCTAAAGCATAGCCTCAACATCCCACAGATGGCGCAAGACCTTGAACACTCACTGGGCAACGAGACAGGTGCGTTTAAAAATAATGCAGACAAACAGAACGAGGGTTTGACATTAAAACATATCGTGGTAACGTGTGAAACTTTCCTTTGTTGTTGTTTTGTTCTTGGGACAAATTTAAACTCACAGTGAGCTTGAGGAACTCTGTGAGTCCTCTGCAAGTCTTTGCTCTGTCCTGTACTAGATGGTATAGAACAAGGTTTTTCTTCTTCTTCATTATGTATTAGTGCTTGCCTTAAATGTGAGCAATGGGCATTAGTAATACTTCTCATATGTACTTCAGGCATTTCAAAGCACTTCAAGATTATTAGGACCCATAGTGGCATGTATTGTATTGTATTATATGATTCTCAGAGTGACTGAAACCCTTTTTATAAAATAGATAAGATTGTAAAATACACTATAAACACACAGCTGCGACAAAATAAGCCGATTAGTTTCAAAATGTCAGATTTTGCCGTAGTTTACTGCAAAGTGTGGATAAGTGGTGGAAGGAGTCGGACAGGATTGAGGAGGAAGATGAAAAAAGAAAGGAGACACACGGAGATTACTGAGAGAGAAATTGAAAAACCGGGAAAGCCAATAAACGATCGCGGCAAATGACAGTGAATCACGACTTCTTCTTATTGCTTCAGTTCATCCCCTAACCCACTGAAAACGCTTGAACAGAAAGCGGAATTAAACTGTTCGTTTATAAAAAATGATCTCATACGATGTCTCAAATATAACAAGTAATGCATTTACTTGAGATAATTCGAGCACTGTTTTTTTCAACTATGAGGGAATATATTTGGATTCATTTAAAAATATACACTCCTCATACAATATTTGTAAGAAAACTTCAGACAGTTTGTTACAATGCTGATGTTTGTATTGTGTGGTGCCGATAGTTATCTGGTAATAGAAATAGTTCAAGAACATTTATAGAGCTCCAGCTACTATTAATTTGAATAAATGAATAACTTTCCCATTTTAAAACATGCACCACTACACAGGTCGACTTCTTAGAAGATGTGTAAACACTGATTAGCATGGAGAGGACAGACCGTGCAACATGTTGTGTGTGTGTGTCGGTTACTTGTAAAGGACAGGTCGGTCCTGTAAGGCTTCCATGGCTTGAGTCAGTACAGGGCAGATATCACAGGTCTCGTGGGTCAGTCCTCTGCATTCATCTTTGTAGAGAGAAGGAGCATAGGAGGAGAAGTGCATCCGTAAGAATAGGACAGCATCCTCCATACAACTAAATAGCTGCAGTCTTTCCAGTGACTATGCTTGCTGTGTCATGGTCCCTTCATTGTTGCTAAATGTTTTGGGCCATGGTAACCTTGTTGGCAAGAAGAAAATCAAAAGCACTAAGAACATTTTTCAATCACAATTTCCCGTGAGCTTGTACCAAGAAGTCAGTGCTTTTACTTGTGCTTCAGACAATACAAACAAGGAAGAGGCAGTGGAAAGCATGCGTCAACAGACTCCACTCGAGTCGGACCTGGAAATAAAAGTAAATGCTCTATTCAAACAATGTGCAGGAATATTTTGTTCTCCCTCATACACAACATGCATATAAAAAAAAACCAAAAAAAAAACACACGTGACAAAATAAAACTTCTACTCCATGTGGAGAAATGATGAGAAACATGACTTGGAGCCCTTTCATTTGACCATTACAAAACTTTCAAATTTCTGGATTTGGGTCCAAAGCACAGCAGAATAAGCGCCTGTAGGGCAACTCATAATTTAGTCGATGCTCTATATTGGGTTCTGTGGTGTCTGTGATCTGAATGGTATATTTCCACTCCAATTTCAATGACAAAACACATGGCTAAGCTGAGGGAAATTTGGGTTTCTGGCATTATTTTGGCAGAACTCAGTCAGGGGTTATGAGTCACATGAGTCCTCAAATGTGTCCTATGCACGCATTACTTGCACATGAAAGAATTTTGAGTGCACAAACCATCAAACAGTAGAAAAGACCAAAAAAACAAGAGTTAAATCTGTGACGATGGTGGTGGATCAGTATGAAGGTACAGTGAGGGTCACAGTGAGTCAGCGTGTACTGTACTCACTCTGAGCCCAGCGGTAGAGCTGCTCATATGAAGTCTCCTGTAACACGGCCATCTGCTCCATGATCTCTAACCTGGAGCGAGCACACAGACCACATATTACATACTCATAACCTGCTGCATAGTGTCAGATCGCAGGCAGGGACAGAAATACCAGACCAGTGTGTTTTTTTTCCACTCATCTGTTCCACCATTCAGGTAGAAAATGAATTCAACAACTAGAACAGAATCACTGAAAAAAATAAATTCATTCAGGAGAGACGTGCACCTTACCCCGCAGTTTGCTGGTTGGTTCGCAGGAGGATTTTCACATCCTCGTGGATGTGCTTCACCCGGCTCAGAGCTTTGAAGAAATCCTGGGAAATGGAACGACACGTGAATATTGTAGGAGCAACATGGGTCGCAGGTTTTGGGCATGTATAAAGTATAAAGTGATGGTAGGAAAACCACCTCAAATAAGAAAATAAATAGTTCATAACAATGGGATGTCTTAACAGAACTTATTAGATATTGTGGCGACAAGTGAGAAGACCAAACACCAGAGGACAGAAATAATGGAAGAGAAAAAGACACACACGAATCTGCATCCATCCTCTGGGCGCAGATGGGAGGATTCTCTATGGGACTTCATTAAGTGGTCTCCAGTATAATAGAGATTACCTCAGTGATGGGGGCATCCCGAGCCCCTCGCAGTGTGGCAGTCTCCTCATTAGACAGCTGGAACTTTGCGAGGAAGGCCTGAGCAACCTGAGCTCTCAACTCCAGCCGGTGACTGAGGAGGGGGAAGAGATACATGTTGTGATTTCCTTCACCTGCCATTGTTGCGCTCTGATATCTGTTGATGGAGAAATGATTCTCTCCTCATGATGTTTTGTCATTTCTGTTTATTTCAGTCTTCTCTAGTCATCACAACTTGTTTTGTCTGTCTTCAAGGCCCTGGAGTTTTATCACCTGGTGTTTTCTTACTGTGCAAATAAAAAGACCTGTCAGTGGAGGAAAACTGGAACAAAGTTGGATGCTTTTATTTCACACGGGGAAAAAAAAGAAATGTTGTCAACAAGCTGTAATGTTTGAGACACTGCAGCAGATGGCAGTCATACTCCTCACACAAACCTCTGGTCACAGTGAGACAACAGGGTGTGACACACACACACACACACACACACACACACACACACACACACACACACACACACACACACACACACACACACACACACACACACACACACACACACACACACACACACACACACACACAAAAGATATCATGTGCACAGAATAAATAACAGAGGAAGACAAGACACACAATAAGAATACAGAGACAGATACCAGCCAGGTTTTTGTCGTCACCATCAATAACAGCGGAGCGATCGCTATCCGTGTCACTAGAAGTGTCTCAGCACAATAGTGTCCATGGCAACGGCCCCAGTCAAACAGAGAACTCTTGTGACGGGAAAGCAGGACAACAGGGAGCGCTCCCTTCTGTCCCCCGTGTCTCCACCCAAACCACCTCGGCTATAGTCTCTCCTCCCGTCTGCGAAAAACACAGGGCTGGATCGGTAAATCACCAGGTTGAAGAAGCCCAACACTATCTGACCATTGTCTCTCATGCAGCCATTACCGGCGCTCAGCCAGCTGAAAGTAACGGGTTGTAAATCTGTAAGAGGGTTCTGTGATTTAGTATCTCGGTGTACGGCTCGCCGACGCCTCACAGGCAGGACTTCGAGGCATCTTTGCCCTTTACGTGTTCCGCGGGTTGAGATTTGAGAAAGACAACAGCTTGGCTGTCGCACGCACGCGCACACACACACACACACACACACACACACACACACACACACACACACACACACACACACACTCTCTCGAGTGTCATACTTTAAAAAAAAGCAACTCGTTACAGCAACCTGGCTACATCAGCCCAATTGTGAGGAGTAACAATACAAAAAAAGGCTGCATTGTCAAAAGCAATATTTTAGCCTGTCACAAATATTTAGAATAAATTATTAAGGTGGCAGAAGTTATATTATTTATATTTATAAGGTATCCGTCACTGCCCGACCCTGCATGCGTGACAAAAAGGACTGAATAGATTAAGAGAAAACACACCAAGCAACTGAGAGAGAAGTTAAAACCAGAGGCACTTCATCTACCTGATAGACCATTACAATTATAGTGATATATATATATTTTAATAACAAGCTATGCTAATGAGGCTATTAATTAAACTAAGTGAAGCATACATTAGGGGAACCATTTCCATGCGAACATGCTTGTCTTAATTCAACACATGAGCAACATTAACATGAAACAAGTCTTGTAAAGCGAGAAGCTACTGTTGTCTCAAGAAAGGAGATTTTATCACTGAAATGCAAATGTGTGCAGCGAGCTTTCTATCTGTTCTACGGGGGGAAACTGGTGCAAACAGGGAATTTCTATCATTAAAGCACTAGTATTATGAGACATAAAATTAATTGGCCATCCGATCCAAATAGGCATCAACTAAAGCTTCCCGGGCCTCATCCGATTGGTCACATTTAACACTAGCTTGGACTTTCATTCATAAAGCAGTGAAGCCACAGACTGCATTCCAACAGTCGGTGCCTTCAAGCCAGGTTGTGTTTATGAGAGGAGTGACTCACTGATGTTGTATTCATGACATTAGAAGATTAAGCTAAAGCGAACTTTGTAATATCTTTTGTCAAATTAGGCCTACTTGACACTGAAATGTAGAAAACACTAAATGATTTGCAATTTCTGACTTTTTTGTCACCTTGCAAAAGTGTTCTCAGGGTTACGCCACTTGACCGGCAATTATATCATTGACTCAGCTGACCTGGAGAGTTTCATTGTCAGGCAGCAATTGTTCCGGATCACTTATTTATAAAGGCTTCTGTCTACGGACGTGTCCAACTTCACAGACACGGTAGTACCAGCGAAAAACTGTGCAACGGATTCACCTCCAGAATCTCGTGTTCAGCCAAAAGTGACAGACCTGTTCCACCAGGATGTAAATCACAACAAAGACACACAGGCTGCACACGGAGAGGAGGAGAGAGAGGGGGAACGGCGGAGCAGCAGGATCGTTCTCTACGGCGCTGTCAGGGCGCGACACGTTCTTCTCCCGGCTGCAATTATCGAATACCGGAGAGAGGAAACAATACTTGAGTGAATCTGCGACGTCACACCGCACTGGCAAGTATATGCGGAGACGCTCTGGGCTGGTGGTTCAAAGACAGAACTCAAATGAACTCAATACGCACGCTTTTCTTGCAGAATATGTGGAGTTAGATGCAGGTCACATAATGTTACATGATGGAATGAAACACAGTTACAGTGTTTGTCTCTTTGTTTGTGTGTGGTTTTTGTGAATTTGTTTTCTCAATTGATTTCGTCAGTCCAAGCAGAGATATCGTTGAAGCAGTCTAACGTCTGATGAACGGCTTCGTCAAACTGAAACACTGGAACTACCGATGCCTGTTTAATACGCTGATGGTGCGGCACCAGGGTTTATGAAGCATAAGAGCTTGATCAGTGAATAACATTGAATTGAATGTATTTTTAATTGTTTCATTGAAACATGTGATTTCCATGAAAAGATTTACGGGACTTTTTTTTCTTCTTATTTCTGACTGATAATCCATACGGGATGAGCGATGCAGGGATTGAGTGTTGAGCTCTGTAACAAAGCGAACGTCCCGCCCTCTCGTAAATTGTGAAACCATGTGGGTCGATTGTCCATTAAAATCTATTAGGGGCCGTTTTAAAAGGCCTGCGTGAAAATTTGGCATTCACAACGCCGTTAAGTTAGCCACGCGCCGATGATCACAGCCACATCAGACAACACAAATGCACACTCACACAGCCGTGCACTCATTAACAGCCAGCTGGGCCTTAATAAGGCTCGAGTGTCCCTTTACACAGGTCGTCATTAACATTTTGATGTCCCTAATTGTCCTCAGGAGGGTTTCAGACCTCTTGATGACCCCAAGCAGACATCATACTGAAAATATTTGCTTTATTTTTTTTTAGGGAACAATGCATCATAGGCTGTAGGAATTACAGTGGTAAATGCAGGTAACTCTTAGTTGTGGTTATTAAATAAACCTACTTTAGGCCTTCTGTAGCTATGTGTAGTTCAGTAATAGCTGGAGAACTAAACCAACAGCTCCGGCTGCTTCGTGAGGTCACACGACATCCGTCGGTGAGACGTCTCGACTTGTTCAGCAGATGACATGTTGCGCTAATGCAAAGATCACACGGTGCAGGACAGCTGGCTCGCGTTACGTTTCATTATGGAACAACACAACACCTATTGAGTGATCTCGCTGACAGCGCCTTTGAACGGGGCCAGCCCAGAACAAAAGAGCAGACGGCTCTCATTGGCCCCAACCTATCACACCTTTGCTTGTGCACACTGTAACACCATTTCATTAAAAGCTGACAAATGACACAGTGTCACTGCATGGCAGATAAGATAGCAAACAGGTCGGGACGAGCCTGCTCTGCCAGGTAAATACACATCAGGCTTTGAAAACACAGAGCTGCCCTATAAGCACAGAATATGAGATAATGCCGCTAATGTAGCGCTGCTGTAATAACAGTCACCGGGAGAAAGCTAAAAAAAAGACAAGACTTGGGACTGCAGAGGATTGTGTGACCGAGAAAATTGGAGTGTTGTGGTGCAGAGAGCTGACTGAAGGAGGACAGCTTGACGGCACGCTTCCACTGGCAGCTCTTCTGAGACAAAAATTGCTAAAGACAAGGTCAAAGCCCCGCGTGCAGACACCAGCCCATCTGTCTGAGGGGGTCATTGCAGCTCCGCGAATGGAAATGTCAAGCGGACGGACAGAAGGTCCCCTTTGCACCGCTGTGTAAAGACGGGGCACTCAGAAGGGCGTCCGTGTGAAACCTCTGACCAACTACCTTCATAAAAATAAAGAAAGAGCCCCTTTACAAAACGATACGACTTGTAGTAATTCACTGCCGTCAGATTCAGAGCCCACCCCTTTCCTGCGTCACCTGTCCGTCAAAGAGGTCCTGGAGCTGTGCCAACGGAGCATGGAATTGCCTCGGAGCGTCGCAGCTGTATGCAGTGTCTTTTGCCAGAAATCTACATCATCTTTGCCCGTGCCGCTGCCTCAATGTCGGCTCACAAGGTCACCGAGCCCCGAGGTCACAGTCGCCTCAAAATGCTAATGTATCCAATCCCAACTGTCAGCGAGGAGCGAACAGTCCCGTCTAACACTCTGCAGGCCAAATTCGTAGATTAAAGCTGGAGTGTGGAACTTTTGTCTCTGCAACAGAAATGAGACTACAGAGAGAGTGAACAGATGGAGTCTAGCTCTGGCGAGATGAAGATGCTTATCAGCGACAAAAATGACTTGTGGTCTCAGAACAGATAAGGGGAGAATGGCAGTACGGGGTGTCTTTGTAAATTTCTGAAGATATTTTAGAATAAAGTTGCCACCTTATCTCTCTTATCCCTCGCTGATATTCTGAAATGCTAGTTTAAAAGTTCATTTTGGTGATTTTGTTACAGTAGGACAGACAACTTGTGCTTGCTGTGACTAAATGAAATTGTGTCTCTTGATCAAAGCTTGATCGATGCAATCTTTTTTATTATGGCAGCCCTACAATAAACAGAAGAGCTCACTTCATCACTGACGGGTTTATACAGATGAACTTGGGGCTGTACATTGCTAAAGTGTTGTGCAGTAGACGGCATGACAGTAAAATAACATTTTGTCCTCCAGATTTATGGAGCAAAATATCAGCAGAACGTTACAATATAATGCAATCCAAATCAGGAGTACCAAACTACTCCCACAAAGGTTAGAGCTGAATTAACTTCCTGACACACTCCTGCATTTGTTTTAATTGTTTGATTGTGGTAGTTAATGATTATTGTTTATTGGATTGCATTATAGTGCAAAGAGGCTTCTACTTGCCTGGTGTATCTCCTGTAGCCACAAGAGGGAAAAGTAAATATGTAACCCAATAACTAAGATATATGTATTCTAGAGATTTCTATGAAGATTCCCAGTCAACCAGTTAGTAGGACTTCTGGACAAAAAAAAAATCAAAAGTAACTGGATTTGCTGTTTTCTCTTTGGCTATCTTCATCAAATATACATGATATGTCAAGTAACAAGGTTAACTCTGGTCAGTAACACACACACACACACACACACACACACACACACACACACACACACACACACACACACACACACTATGTTTGCCTCTTTAGACTCACTTTTCTCCCTGCAGCTTGTTGGTTTTCACTATCAGGTCTTGAGTTTGCTCCTTCGCCGCCTGTTGAAGAAAAGTTGCTGTATTTATAAAAGCAAACATTATGCTCTCAAAATGAAACTGAATAAATCTGCTACATGAGGTGATTAACGTCTTATATTACACACCATATACACAAATGTCCTAGCTTCTATTGTTATGAGGAGTTTAGCTTTAGTGAGTCATTATCTGGGCAGGAGAATTTTCAAAAGACACAACGTACCTTTAACCTATTAGTCATCTCTTCAGAACACGTGCTCATGGCCTGAACATCCTCATGAACACTTTCAAGCGCCTTTGGAAAACACAAAGTCACCGTTACAAAAGAACTGAGGCCGATGCGGGCCCGTTCACACAGGCAAAGTCAAATACTACTGTTCAAATAAATGTTGTGGAGAAGCCTGCTTCAATGTCAGGCTTTCAGATTCCCCACTACAGTCTGTGGTCCTGAGTAGCTGCTCATAAATTATCCCAAAAAACGTACACATCTCCTTGAACTTAAAACTCCATGTCACTCCCTGAACTTCAAAATGCACTTTCTAAATTGGATCTGCTGTTCAACATCACCCTCACAGCTCTGGTAACGGAAAACGTTTCTTTGCTGTCTTGTAAAATATAGTTATTAATTTAGAGATGAACCCACGCAGCATCTTCTCCATGTGAATATTTGTAAACAAACCTCAGTCAAATACAATAATCACTGCACAGGTATTTTGCCTGGTTAAATTGAGTTAGACTTGAGTGCTGTTTAATGGTGAATAAGCTGTATTTTTCTTTAAAAACGTACCTCTTTTACATCCTTAAATATCCGTGCAAAGTCCTCGTTGATCGAGAGGCTTCGTCTCTCTATGTCACCGCGAAGATTTCTCCTGGTGCGCAGACTGTTGTCGGTGAAGAACACAGAGAGCGCCTTCAGAGCCTCCAGCATCTCCTGAAAGCACAAACAGGGACATTGTGATGTCAGTCAGTTTGTGATCCCACTGAAACCAGGAGCAGTCCACACTAAACGACTGCAGCAACACGCTAACGTCAACTGTTAAATCAATGGCGTTTTTGTGGATGTCGTTACTGTGGTTAACCACAGCCAGTCAGGAACAATATCGTGTCTTCCCAACAGTCATCCCTGGGTGGGTGACACTATCCCCCAAGAGCAGCATTGTGTCCAGTTATGACGCGACTATCTTACAGGTTTAGCTAATGATAGCTAGCTAGCTAGCATGAAGCTAAAGCCTTCCACCTTACCTTGTCATTGTCGAGCCTCGTCTCCAGTATTTTGTTGAGCTTCCTTGACAGCGGGTTATTGGGCTGAGAAGACGCATTTGGGTTCTGTAATGCAGTGGAGCTATCAGTTGCAATATCTAGTTTATTATCAGCCATCGTACACGAACACCTCCACGTCAACTTTCGGAAAGATGTTTTGGTCCGTCTGAAATTAACGTCCGGTCGGCGTGTACGTCCATGGAGGACAACGTTCCGCTACGCAGTTAATTATTTTTGCAAAAATACTTTACAGTTTTTTTAAAGGGAAGAGGCCACTGGACTGATGACGATAATAACGGTGATGACATCATACAAATATAACTCTCAACTTTAGACTTCCTCACTTCTTGAAGAAACTGTGTTATTATATAATTCCAAGCACTGAATAAAAACGTTGATGCCGTGTAACAAGATATTCAAAGTTATTCTTTACATGGATTGAGTGAGAGGCTCTTTTAGTCAGTTTACTGGGTCGATATCTGAGTCAGATTAACTTTTAAAAGATAAGAGAGACGAGACCACAATTAAAAGAGATCCCCGATTTAATGCCTGTTCAGGAGGTGCTGCGTTCATGTACATTTGGAAATATTCCACTTTTTCTGGATCCTCCTTTGGTTCTATAGAATGAAGATAATGGGTATAGTGGGATGACCTTGTGGTTAGTGAGGTGATGTCCCATCTACACAGGCCTGAGTTTAGTAACCTGTAGGCTAAAGTATGCGACTATCAGTGACGTGGCTGACTGTGCA